AGAACTGGCAACTTTATTCCAAACATGAATCCTTCATGGTGATGATGTGTAGTATAAAAACTTGGCAACAGCACTTCATACAGTAATGTCAGCACATGATTTAGGAGGAAGGCCCCAAATTTTAACAAGTGCACCCCTAAGCTAAGACAGGATTGCACTGTAATTACGCCATACTAACATTGTGGATTTCCTACAAGAAAATTTGTATCTTAATTTTGTTTCCAGGAGAACAAATTCTGGGTGACTTCAACAGCTGGTGTATATACATTTTGATTGGGTGTGTGTTCCTATAATTAACCTCAGGAAGGTGATTAGATAACATAAATACCAAAAGAAAAATAAAAGCATCAGTCCTAAAATACATTTCACTGACATATACCAAGGCAGTCAGCTTGCATTTGTTCCAAGGAAAAACCAGTTTTGTTTTTATTAATGGGTCCTCTGGTTCAAAAATCGAAACCAGGACAGACTATTTAAGACTGAAAGCCATAGCATTTGATACATTCCAACATTAAAAAGGTTCAAAAGGTGAAAGAAACTTTTCATCCTCACTAAGCTCTGAAAGGACTTAAAAAAATCAAATTTGAGCCACTACTGGTTTAAGATTAGAATAAGAAGGACGTTTTATCGTCACCACTGAACACTAGCCTGAAAATATTTAATTTGCTCAGACTTGTTAATAGTTTTTCAATGGCTGTTTGATGAAACCCTGGCTATTCCTCCATAGATATGATGAAAATAAATCTATCTACCGGCAGCATCAATCCGCATGGGTTTCAAATGTGCCGCTAACAAGGGACAGTAAAGAGACTACGTACTGTCCAACTGTGGCCATTTGACTAACCCCTCACTAGAAGGAGCCTGTCTCTGATAAGCACCCATCAGCCATAGAGTCAAGGGGAGCATTTTCTAGTCAAGAATGTCTATTCACAGCATAAATGGCAGGATGGACAGGTTGAGTCTAGAAAAAAGCCACGGGACCCTCAGAGGTGGGAAACTCCCATGCCTAAAACTTCCCTCTCCAGTGACTTCCCTGTATTTGGATGCAGTGATCACCATGTTGAAGTCATTTCCATTTGTTTTCATAAAATCAGAGAAAGCAAGCTGCTAACTCTGAGAGCTGGAAAACGCCTGCCCCGCCCACTCAGGCTATACTGCACACAGGCAGCAGTAAACTCTTCCCTCGTCTACGGGTTAGCAGTCAGGGCTGTGGGCTCCAGGCCTCTTGATCTGCTAGCAGAAGCACTGGGTGCAGAGATGACTTCCCCGTGGATACTGAGATGCTGATCTCCACAGAGAGAGGTCCACAAGCTACAGCTTTCAATCTACAAAGGTCTTCGGGTTCGGAAAGCTGGTTGAACAAAGGTCAAGGAGAGAACAGCATTAGTTTCTGGGGATTCAACCACCTAACCATCAGCTCCCTAACAGACAAAGAGTTCAGGCCAGGGGTGCAGGACAGTGGTGGGATTTCCCAACAGTTACATGATGTGTTGCCACAATCTTCCTATGGCCCAGGACCATCTACTCATCCACAAATCGTTTAAACCATAGCCAATAAGTTGAATGCTGAGACAATCACACTTTGAATAAGGATAGACCAGCTACTGCAGGAGACAGCCAGCTTTTTCTGTAAAGGGCCAAAGAGTATATATTTTAGTCTTCTGAGCCACGTTACCTGTTGTAATGCTCAACTGCTGGGGACCCTAAATTGGCATGGCTGTCCCAATAAAACTTGTCTTACAAAACCAGGCAGCAGGTCAGATTATGCCCTGGGGGATATGATTTGCTCACCTACACCCAATCTAGACAGCTGATTCTAGTCAATAGAGGTAAAAACAGCTACAATCAACTGTCAAAATAAGGATTTCATGAACCACAATGCTTCCAACACCACCTCCAAATCCTTCTGTCTTCCAGAGTCACCCTGATCTCTTTGAGTTGAAGAGAGTAAGAAACTCTCCAACTGCCTTAGTAACAGCAAATATCACAACTTCAAAATACAGCTCTGTATCACTTATGGCCAAAGGGAGAAAGCCAATAACACAAATTCTGCTTAGAAGTCACTTCAAAGGGGGCAATGCCCAAGTACAACCCTGAAGTCTATCAGACATTCCCTTCTGTCTCAGGGAGCCTCACGAATGACACTTCCAACACTCCAACAAGGCAGTAGCTGCTTATGAGGAATTTAAAAAAGGAAGTGCTGGAATACCAGGTTTGTACATCAGACTTACGAAGGCAAAGTATCTATGTTTTGAGTTGTGGAGTCACCACTTTCAAAATAAACGTTGCTATGCTTTGTCCTAGCCCACTCTGCTTCAAAAAGAACCAGCATTCACAGGCTAAAGGCCTCAGTGCTGATAAAGACAACAGTCTCCACCATGTGGCCCAATGAAGGGAACACTGATAACACCAGCAAAGCTTTGAGGAAGGTGACTCCAGAAGTCTTGGAAATGAAGGTGCCCAATGCACTCTGCCTTCAGCTATTTCATTTGAAATGGGCAGAAATAACATGGTGATGGCTATTTACAAATCAACAAGTTGCATGGCTCAATAAAAGGCAGAAATTTTATCTAGAAGCCATAGCCTACTTGGCGAGGGCACTTTCTAAGGCAGTCACACAGGACACAAAAGCCAATTCGGTTGTGATGAAAAGTCATGTACCTACCTATCTTCAGTCTCTTCTTTTCTTTAAGCCTGATACCACTTTTGCAAAGGGAAAGTAATTTGTGAGCATGTGACTGCCTAAAATTTACAGTATGTTATTTCAAAAATTCAGAAAAAAAAATCTTCACCTAGTCTTCTTCTTGGCAGAGTAGAGGGGGTGAAAGGTAGAGACAGTGATCAAGGAAGTTTCAACCGAAGGCAGAGAGCTGGGGAAGAGCTGCAGGTGCCTAAAAAGAAAAGACTGATCTCCCTAAGACCTTGTGCACACCTGTCCTGCCTGAGCACTAGGATCACCACACACACTTCCCTAAGGGTCCACAAAGTGAACTGTAGACACAGGTTGGAAGTCTTACTGAGGAACAAGAGCTGCGAAAGAGGCACCATTTTTGGATTTGCTTTTAAAGATGTGAGGGCCTGCCAGGTGCCAGTGGCTCATGCCTGGAATCCTAGCTACTGGGTAGGCTGGCAATTAGGAAGATTGAAGTTCTAGACCAGCCCAGGCAAACAGTTTGTGAGACCCCCATCCCCAAATAAGTAAAATGAAGTGGACATGTGACTGAAATGGTAGTGTCTGCTTTGCAAGCATGAGGCCCTGAGTTCAAATCTCATTTCCACAAAAAAAAAAAAAAAAAATCTGAGGCCATTCTGACCAATAGTATATTTTTCTCCATACCTCAGAACCTCCTTGTCTCTTTCTATCATGAATAGATACGCAGAGAGCAGTTCTTTTTATATCCTGAACCAACGCTTTGAGTCCTCGACGTCTACGGCCATACCACCCTGAACACGCCCGATCTCGTCTGAGTCCTGGACAACGATGCCATGAGCCTGGTGTTGCAAATCTTTGAAACTACACTAGTCCCGTCAGAAGGGCTGTACCTAATGTCAGACAGAGCAGCTTGAACAGAAAATAATCAGTAGTCTCATATCTTACTGACTTAAAAAAAATGACTAGCTAAAAGATGATGGGAATGAGATCTTTTCATTAATCTTCCAGTTAACTGAGTGTTAAATACACAAAAATATCTTTCTTAAGTCCTGAAATCTTTATTTTTTAAGTTATTCTACAGAGATTCTATAGTTAAATCTCTTCACTCTCAACCATAACAGTAGTCAACATACTCAACCCAGCACATTTCTTCTTGGATCAGTGAGGATCCAGCCCTCACTCTGAATATCACATTGTCAGTTTTGACGATCATGATAATTACCCAGAATTCAACCCAGTGCAGAAGTTGAGAAAACTGAACTGGACATATTCTGAGCCCAGGATGAGGCTTAGAACTGATTTGAAATAAGCTCCTCTCAATTTTTAAGAAAACTTATTTGCTTCTTTACCTTTAGTAGACAAATGTCAAAAGTTGTGCTCTGGGATTGCAGCCTATTAGCTTTTAGTAACTGATTCTTCAAGAGCATAACCTCACCTCCTGTGCTTGCCTAACAATACTTGGGAATGTCTCTGGAGGCTCAAGAAGTCACTGAAAATTAGGACAGCCAGAGTGAAGATCTGAGCTCATGAAAAAGACCAACAAGAGGGTCTGGGAGGGTCCAACAGACAGAGAGAACTTGACAGAGGATGGCTGGATGCAATTCTATTCTATCTGTAAACAGATCTGAAGACGCATATCCTTCCTCAAAGCAACTGTTCTTTACTGACTCAGATACTGGTGTAAATGGACCAAAATGAAATCCCAGACAGAAGGATGGTACAGATAGGTGTGTGCTTTAGCAGCCCATGAAGCAGAGGGAAGGAAGCTACCACAAGCCAACTAATCATAATGGTCACTATGGCTAAACACTGGCAATTAGGAGGGTTAATGTAGAGGTGAAGACAAGGACGAATTCTCCACTTTTAGAGAGAAATAAGATACTGTTCCCAAAGGAAAACGATAGGCTCTGTGACCTGTCGAAGCCTGCAGTATCCTTGGCTCCAAAGTCATGATATGTTGTTGGCCCCATATCCCATTACCAATCAATTTTGGTTTGAATAACCCAGGTAATTGGAATATGTCCATACGCCACACAGATAGGTCAAAAACTCTTAGACGGAGCCTGTTGTCTCCAGTCCCTGAACATCAAAATAGCCACAGTCTTTTGCTGAGTGTTCAGCTTTCAGCAGTTTCAAGGTCGGCCCCCACATTGCCTTCTGTGGCAACACTGGGACTGACAGGGGCCATGATTTTAATGAAACAATAGCTAACAGGCCTGTACACGTATTTTTAAACTAGAAAACCACTATAAAAAATGTCATTATAGTTAGATACAAGTGGATTTCATTATAGCAGTCACAAAAAAACAAATAAGAAAAATAAAAACATAGTATACTAAAGGCCTACCTATTCCTGAATTAGCTCCAGTAACCAGGACCACCTTGCCCGAGAAGTCCCGGCCCTGCAGGATTTCCATGGCAGTGGTGCTGCCATCATATCTCTGTCTGATGGTTGGCTTCGTTGGATTATCATCCACAGTAAATGCCAGTCGTGGGTCCAAGTAGGTGGTTCTTTTATTTATATGGCTGCAAGGAAAAGGGGAAAGCAGTGAATGCACAGTAGTGAGCCCCAGCTTTACAACTGTGAAATGATTGTATAGTTTAGGCAAAACCTGCCATTCATGCACCAAAAGGCTTGCTCTGAAACCTGACAGAACCAGGGCTGTGTGGCCTGTCTTCTGGCCTCCAGAGGATTATATTCCTGCCTGAGAAGAAAGTCACCAGAGCTTTTCCTTCAGAGCCACCTGTAAAACACAGGGTGACCAGTGCCTTGGAGCCAGAGCGATACATTAGCTGGAGTTTCTCTTAAAGGCTGGCAGAGAAAGTTCAGCATTCTTACTGAACCACATAAATGTGGCTGTAAGATGTCAGCCACTCTTGTTGGGCATGTCCCAGCCTAATTTTTTACATTTTAAATGTATTCTTGAAATTTGAGATAAAGACCTCAAAATGTCATAAAAATATATTGAAAACTACAAAGAACCCTCCAGAAATACATGAGATTTCATGATTTAAAATGTATTTGCGTGTATAAAATTACATAGTTTAAAATCTACACCTATCACCCTATAAATACTAGGACCCAGGAATAATCCAGCCTTTATCTTAATTATAACCATAGCCTGCCAGATAAGCACACTATAACCCAATGTTACACAATGACGTCAGAGAAGTGCTGTGCTGGAGCTGGTTCTGCCCGCTCACAAGAGCCAGCCAAATGTGTGCCGCTCCCCCCCATTCCTAGTGACTGCACTTCACTGAACTGAAATTGGCTATGGTGAAAGTCTTTGCACCATAGAAACAAATCTGCACCTTTTTCCCCTAAAGAGCTGGTTATTAATGTTTAGCAACAGGCTGAGAAGTGGGATGACTAGCTAAGGGAACCAAGTTCTAGCCTGTTTCCAAAGCCCTCACTTATTCTGTTTTTATAAATAAGGTGTTTTGTTTGGGTTTTTTTTTTTTTTGGCAGTACTGGGGTTTGAACTCAGGGCCTCACACTTGGTATGCAGGCACTCTCCTACTTGAGCCTCTCCTCCAGCCCTATAAATAAGGCTATATTGGGACACAGTAATGAGCATGCATGTTTTATTGTCCACAGCTGCTTTTATACTACAATGACAGAGCTGAATAACTGCCACAGGAGCCACATGCCCCTAAAGCCTAAGCCATATTAGCCATTACAGAAAAAGTCAGCAGACTCCTCCTAAGTAAAGACCAGGGGCGCTCAAACTCATGTGCCTCAGAACCCCCGGAGGCATGTTGAAACACAGCTCTGAGGAGGGCAGGGGCCTAAAAGTGTGCATTTGTACTAAGTTCCCAGGTGATGCCATGGCTGCTGGCCCAGGGCCCACACTTGGGGCCCACTGTCCTGGGTCAATTAAGATTAAACCACTGCAGGGGAATAACTTCCCAGGCATATATATGTGCCAAGGCAAAGACTGTGCAGGAGAAATCTGACCGACTATAAAAAACTTAAGAACTTCTATAGTTGATTTTTAAAAATACCAACAAAGTGACAAGAAAAACTTAGAATATTTGCAACATGTAACTAAAAAGTTGATCTCTTTAAGGGGAAAGATTCACAAATCAAGAAATCAAGGAAGAAAAGCCTTTTATAAACTAATAGGGAGCAACAAGCATCCACCTGCCCAACCTGCCAGAAGGCTCCTGCTCCATGCTGCCTGTGAGTGACTCCAAGACAAGCAGCAAGCCCTGACCTCTCTCAGCTCCCAGGACCAGAAACTTCATCAGGTTTGCTCATAAACCACTTATGCCATTTGCAGGCTTAACTGTGACTACATTACTTAATGAACTGTTATTATACAAACTGGTAACATGTGAGGTGAAAACGAAGTGTCACTGCATCTATGAAAATTTAGCTGAATGCTTTGAGGAACCTCAAAGGGAAGTAGCTAAAAAAGTTTTGTTTAAGCCAGACCTGATGATTCATGGCCATAATCCCAGCACTTGAGAGGCTAAGGGATAGGAGGACCCCAAGTTTGAGGCCAACCTAAGCTACATAGTGAGACTCTGTCAAATTAAAAAAAAAAAAAAAGTTTTAGTTCAATCAAATTCAGTGAAAATACTAGGAAAATGTCATAAAATTCCAAAGTGATGCAACATTCGGATTCTTTGAAAAGTTAAGTTTTGATCAAGTTTCCCAAAAGCAAAAGTGGAATCCATGCATGCCCAGTCCCAGGTGTACTGGGGGGGGAGATCACGACACAATCCACCTGGGAAGAGCAAGCCTGCCCAACCGCAAGTGCCTCGTGCCTGAAGCCAACGTTAAAAGGAAAGGTGTGCATCACATGCATCTCAGTGGTAGAGCCCTCCCTAGCATGCATAAGGTCCTGGGCTCCATCCCTAGCAGCACAGGAAAGGAAACAAACAAAATACTGCTTAAATCAATTATTAACCAACCAACCCTAATCCTGTCAAACACACAACCTGAGTTAAACGCTGGTAGCCTAACTCTATCACCTCCTGTAACTACAGAGTCAAAACAGATGTCACAGACACGAGATGGTAAGACTCAGCCCTGACTCATGCTGCTCATGCCACACAGGTAGGTGGTTACTACTGTTTTCTGTGGCTGAAATTAAAGACAGATCAGAGATGAGAAAAAATGTTACAGATAAGGACGCTCAAGGCATTATTTATAACTACAGATTCCCAATAGTAGAAATTTAACATCAATGCCCAATAGGCAATTTGATACAGTATATCAAATAATATAGTAACAAACTGCTACTCTAGAGCCAATAAGTACTTAAAAAACATGAGATAAGAAAATCCCTGCAATATATTTTGTGAAAAATCAGGTTACTAAGCCGCCCACACAGTACATTTCCTAAGTTCCTAAAGTATGCACAGAGCCAAGTGTGGTGGTACACACCTGTAATCCCAGCTACTTGGAAGGGTGAGGCAGGTCAATCACAAGTTCAAGACCAGTCTGGGCTATACAGTGAGTTCAAGGTCAGCCTAGACTACATGGAGACCCTACCTCAAAACAAACAAACAAAAAAAAACGTGCATAGAAAACAGTCTGGGAGAGAGGGTGGAGAAAAAGACAGACTTCAAGAATAAGTCCCAGAACTGTTAAAAGTAGTCACTCCTGAAGATAAAATTATGGGTACACACTACTTCATATTTTTCTGCAGTCAATCACTGTATATTACTTTCATAATTAAAAAGTCCTGTTAAAAGCAAGCTGGCTAACATGTCTATGTTTAGAAAAAAATTTTTTTTTAAAAACCAAAGCAAGCAGGCCAAGGATAGCTTCTATGCAGACTTACTCAACAAAAAACACTTGTCCGTTCTCAGCAGTCTCCTGCTCCCATCCATATGGCAAATCTGAAACACAAGAAAGACACAGGTCTGTGCTGTAGCGGGGTGAACCGAAGGTCCTGCTCCCTAGTCAGGAAGAGGTGTCATGCCCTCCCAGACTTGCCCCCCCCACCCCCAAGAGCTGTGGTCCAACTTGCTTTGTTCACATGATCCAATTGTGGCGGCTGCAGAAGGCCCATTATCCCAACTGGACTGTACATCCTGCCTCTTTTGACTCCTGATCATTCTTAAATGCTCTATCTGGCTCCTGCCTGTGCTGTGAACCTTACTGGTTGCAATCAAAACAAGGTCTTCCTTAAATGTACTCACAGACTTCGTCTATACATTTAACAGACACCCCACCCCAGCCAAGTGCTGCTGCCACCTAATGCAACAGTACAGGCAGGTGTGGGTTTCTTTCACATGTACATGTTGTCTCTTCAACTAAACTCTAAACACTTTAGAGCAGGGACCTTCTTATACTTTTTTTTTTTTTTCATTCTTGTACTTACTGTGCACTTGCTCAGTTCTGTGACCTACAAGTCATAGTGATCTTTATGGAATTCTGTAAAATATTGATGCATTTAATTCCATAGTATAAACTAAGAGCAATGTTACAAACTGTAGGAAAACCTAATAAACTGAGAGTCAAAGGCCCCAATTATTTTAATACTTTATTTAAGACAGTAAGAAATCATTCCGCTCTACCCTAAGATCTTATCACCTCCTTTGGCCAAATCCCAAAACTCCTTTGGCTCTCAGAGTGAGTCCAGTCCTTGATGGTGCTCCACCATTCTGGCCTTACGAGAATGACCCAATGACCTGTCACCTCACTGCCCGTGACATCTTCCAATCTACTTAATGCGTCCAGAACAACAATATACAAACCTCCTGCTACTCGTTTTCTTTTCCCAGTTTTTGGGTGTTCCCATTGAGTCTTCTCCTCTGTGTGACTGTTTAAAAAAAAAACCATAATACAGTAAGTAGAAGTTAACACTTGTAAAAAGCAATCAACTGCATTGTCTCTCTCACAGATAATACTTTCCTTTTCTCTCTCTCTCTCTCTAGCAATGAAAACAGACTCTGAGAAGAAATGTGCTGAACATAAATTTTCCTGACTGCATCAGGTCAAAGTCTGCAGGTCAGAAGAAGAATTGATCCTTCGGGAATTGTGAGTGGCTTCTGTATTAGCCAGGTGGGAAGATACAGAGAGGAGGAGGAGGACCAGGCTCCCAGCTGTGGAGTCAACTTTAGAAAACTTGGTGAACCCCTCCAAACATCTAGAGGATAGTTTGTTTTGTATTTCTTTTAGTTAATAATGACTAATTGATAATGCTGATATTTACATATAATTTAGGTATAGTGTTAATCTTTTTAAAACATTTGTTCTTTCCAGAGATGTAACTTCAAAGTGATTCACCAAGCAGTGAGTCCCAAGTGCTCCCCAGAGATAGTCAGGAGCTCAGTGAGCCAGTCTAGCTGTGGCACCTTTGGTGAAGTGCCTCAACCTCTTAGCTTCCCCATCTGCAAAGCAGAAATGATCTTCAGGTGGACTTCAGGGGCTGCTCTGAGCATGCTGAACATCCAGGGCCTCCTTTTTTTTTTCCTAATAAGACTAAATTTATTCAATACCCTAGTAAAAGTTTGATTATGAGTATTCACAGTATAAAAAGTACAAAACAGATTTGTAGATTTCTAATATATTAATGTAAGGTGCATGACTACATACCATACATCCTACAGGTGAAGAAATGTGGAAGGGGAAAAAGAAGACTGTGGTTGAGGTCTAGTATAAATAAATAAATACAGAAGTAGAGATGATCCACATTATAGTATATTCTACCACCAATACTGCAGCCAAAATGTACAAAAAAAAAAAAAGAAAAGGAAAGGAAAAAGCCATTTCAAAGTAACTCAGGAGGATGATAATGGCTGGACTCTTGTGATTTACCTCAAAGGCTGTGGGAGAGCCGACCCAACTCACTGTAGTCTGTACATATGGTGGCTTGTAGCATGTAAGTTTTTTCCAAAAGGAAGAAATATAAAATGTTAAGCTTATATTAAGAACTATAAAACTTGCCCATAAAAAAAGCCTCACTCCCTATTGTGATACTATCTAATTTTTATAATCCAGTTTCAAAAATAAGCACTGATCTTAATATCATAAGACAGGCAATGCTCCTCCCTCATTATGTAAAGTCTGAACTTTTTTCCCTGAACTTCTAGAAAAGAGGCAATGAGAGTACTTTGGTTTGGGTTCAAGTGAGAGGCTTTTAATGAGGATTTTAGACCTGAAGAGCTCCACATTCAGAAAGCCCAACTAAAAGAAGCCAAACCAAAACCAACACCCTCACATTAACACATACCTCTTTTATAAGTAGAGTGAAAAACACCCCAAACCCTAACAGGTTAAAACAAGTCAACCACCTAACTCTACAAGATAAAACCTCCACAAAGGTCAGCTGAAGTAATCCAGAACTAAAACTGAATTGTGCAGATTTCAATGAAGTCACCCAATAGTCATGCAGCACAAACAGCATCAAGTATTTACACACTGGGCAAGCCCTCTAAGAAATGCACCCCCAGAAGCACTGTGCGACCCTGAAGACTTGCACATTTTATTTAGATAGTTTAACATTTCTAACTGTATGTGTTCTCTATCATGTGGCAATGCTTTGGTACTATTCACATAGAATCTTGCCTACCCTACAGATTTGCCATTTCCCCAGGAGGAGCTCTGATTCTGCTTTAGAAGTTCCATATAAATTAAAATCTTTATCAAATAGTAATATGATAGGATGTGACATAAGATGCAATGTACACAGTCAGGCTACCTCCTTCAAAATATTTGCACCAGAAAGCTTAGTCTGTCCTGCTTAATAATCGGTAGTACAGATTTGAATCATCAGAACCTTGGCAAAACCTTAATATTCCAAAATTATTAACAACTACCTCTAGAGGCAAGTCACATTACTGAGTTATGACAAATTTATTATCATGAGGGAAAACAAGTGTTGCCAGCCATCTTAAAAATGCCCCAACTGCTGCTTCTCAATACAGAAAGACTAAAACTACATCGGCTTATCATACAACAAATAAGGGTCTCCTCTTGTGCCTGGTGTATAAGAAGCTCTCAGAAATGCAAGCCATTATTATAAACAAACCAATTATGCACACTGATCTGATTTCTGTATCAAATATAGCATTTTGTCTTAGAACAATACATGGTCATCAGTAAAGTAATGGGCCAGTAGCTAGAACCTGGTTTCTTGGGACAAGTAACCAGGAAAATTACTTCTCAGAAAAATAGTCAGAAGCCCCAGGAGGTACTGGCAGATTGGGCTAGATTTCCTTAAAGTTCACTTACACCTGCCAAAGGAAACTGACTCTTGGGATAAAACCTGGACACTCCTTCCCTACCAATTAGGTTAAAGAAAATCAATAGATAGCATACATTGTCTGTACAACTTTTCAGGTCATAGGTAAGGTCCATCTTTTCATTTGCTGCTGGCTTCTGGTCTATTTTGACAAACTCCCAGCAGCTGGGCCTCTGTCATGGTGCAAGGACACTGGGCTTGGGGGCAGCATAAGAGCTCCCTGAACCAGCCGCCTGTGCCAGTCTCCTGTGGCACCTGACTAACAGAGCTGCTGGGAAGGTAAGACATATGATACGTGTGACCATGCTTGGAACACAATTAAATCCTTATGCAAGCAAGCAGTATCAGGAGCAAAGACAAATCCCTACTTTGTATATCAACTACCACCAAACCTGACTTGCAAAAAGAAAGTTCTACCTCCCTCAGAAGGATAACCCATACCTCTTCCTACTTATCTTGCAAACTGGAGGGAACAGTAGCTTGGTAGTAATCAAGCACCAACATTCTGGCTCCCTGATCTGCATGCCATAGGCTTCTTCAAGGTGAGAGGTGGAGTGACATTTTCTTTGACCTGACATTAAGAGTAGTCTTCAAGCTCAGAATGGTAATGCACAGCTATAATACCAACATGCAGGTGGAGGCAGGAGGAACACAAATTCCAGGCCAGCTGGGCTACATAGAGACACTATTTTTGTCTTAAATATTAAAAAAAAGAAAGAAAGAAAGAAGAAGGAAGGAAGGAAGGATGCCACAAAGTGGACCTAAGAATGGACCACTGAGCTGTGCAGCGAGTAGGCCAGCAAGTGAAGAGCCCCGGGACCTGTGTCAAGTGGACCCTCAGACACCAGCATAGCCCTGGGCCTGACCCATACTAAGTATATAAATGCAAACACACGTTATGACTAAGTATTTCCAAAGGAGCTATAAAATTCACTCAGAACAGAAATGAAAGACATTTAGAAAACAAAGCAAGCCTTGTCAACTTAGGTTCTTGACTTTGACAGAAGCCACATGAACTAGGCTTCTTCCCTTCAAGCCTGGCTGATTCTGTGGTGTGGGACTGAAGGCTCTACACTCGTGCCAATCCATAGCTGTGGCTGTGGGGAAAACACCAGACCGAACGGAAGAGTGAGGCTCGGGTTGAGGACTCCGAAACCTGAAGGTCACTTTCTGGTTCTCCCACTCGCCAGCCTGTGCCCTTGGAGCAGTTGTTCAACCTCCTGTGCCTCAGTTTCCTCATCAGCAAGAGAGGGATAACAGCAGCAGCTACTTCTTGGGGTTATAGAGAACTGAAAGAATTAACATGAAAAACTGAGCCTTGCAATAACAGTATTACTCTAACTTAATACTTACACGTAAAAATTAATTAAAAGGTACACTTTTTAATTACAATCTTAAATGACTTTTTAATAAAGAGAAAATCACGACACATGTCCCTAAAGTGTTATCTTACTCCCCCTTAAATAGAAGCCCTCTATCTTTTTTCTTTCAATAGCTTTGAAGAGGTATTAAGAGTAAACTTAAGCCAAAGGGATCAAAATTAAAATTATATTACATTACATGAATACCACTAAGTGTGCTCTTCCAAGGCCAGGGGTGGGGCGGGGGATTTGGGTTTTTCAGTGTACTTTAAGTTAGGACAGAGAGGGAAGCCAACCCTGTGAACAAGGAACCGTCTCCTGACAGGGTAGATGAGCCGTCCCTCTGAGCTTCAGAAGAAAAGGACAGGGGAGGAAGACCTAGGAAAGCCCATGTGGCTGTAGTGACAACAGTGACCCCCCACCTCCCTTAGAGGGGCTGCTCTAGGATTGAGGAGGTGGGGAAGGAGGACCCGCCAGCTCTCCCTGGTTGCAGGTCGGCCCTCCCCGTGGAGCCATGAGACACGTGTGCCTTTAAGGTCTATGAGTGCACTGCAGGGTACCTGGGTCCAACAGCACACACACCAGGACAAAAGTCTCCAGAGAGCTACAGCCTCTACCCCTGATCATGGCTCTAACACAGTGGGGGGAACAACTTCAAGGATGGCCTGAGAGTCCGTTAGCAAACCCCAAGAGAAAGACAAGAGTTGCTTCCAGAATTATAAGGGGACAGGAAGGCCAGGATAGCTTGAAGTCTGGAGAGATCAAGAGGAATGGCTGGCAATTCAGACTCAGGATTAGCCACGAAAGCCAAAGAACTAAGGGTCAGCAGGACAAGAGAGGGCATCTGCAGGGACATACTCCACCTGGGGTCAGCTGACCCATAGCCAATCAGGGTAACAGCAGGGCCAGATAGACCTAAGACACTGTGGGGGGGGGGGTGTCAAAGGAAGGGCTTTTGGAGGCCACATAAGTAAGGTGCAAGGGAAGGCAAGACCACCACCATGAGAGAGCCCTAGGCCCTAATTTGAAGGGAAGAAGAGAAGCCTCTGAAGTGGCAGACAAGGACAGGCCCCAGAGTGAGAGGCACAGGAAGGCTCCAAAAACTGGGGAGCAGCTCATGGGTATCTCTGTGCCCCAGGATCTAGCACACCACCTGTCCATGGAAGCCCCCAGTTAACCTTCACTATTTGCTCACTGTATATGATGTACTGTTGTTTTTGTTTCCTGGGTGCTAAACACAGGAGAGACAGGTGAACAAGAAGTGTGCAACATGGAGGGAGACAGACAGCAAAGTTGGAAGAACATTGGTAAAACACCTATAGACAAAGCTAAGACAAATAAGTAGATAAACAAGGTGAAGGGGTTGTGGGGGGGGAGGGAGACCCACAGTCAAGGACTGTCTCTTGAGCAGTGATACTTTTAAGCTCCGCTGAGAGATGCCACATGTCCAGGATGAAGGAAAGTTGGCATCTGATCAGAGCTACATGGACATGTGCACCAGGCTGGTGACCTCCCTACGGCTGGAACTGTCCCTCTAATGTTCCAGAGCAACTAATTCTCTTTAGAGACAAAAAACTAGTGTCACCTCCTGGCTTCAAACCTTCAGTTAACCCTTGGGCCTGACAACAATGCCCCAGATCCTCAGCAAGGGACAGAAGCTCCTCCTGGAAAGTAGGTCCCGCCCCCTCACCTCAGGTTTCAAGGTCCTGTGCCACACACAGGACATGCCTGGGGCCTCCCTTCTCACAACTCCTCATTCCCACCTGCCTGCCCGCCTGCTTCTCAACCCACCTTCTTCTCCTTCTACCTAACACAACTGGGGGCCAACTCTCCAGGATCGCCTCCCTAGTGTGCCCCACATCTCCCCCCACACACCTTATGCTACCCTGTCTTCTGCTCAATCCCCACACTGCACCATGACTATCTTACTCTCTGTCACTCTGCCCAGTAAGACTGGGATGACAACTGAGTCATTTTATCTCAATATAACCAGTGTCTAGTAAGGGGCTTGGCATATAAGCCAGAGCTTTCTTGATTTTTGTTTTTCTTTCTACCTGGCCACCAAACACAGCAATGGTTCATGCCATTGGGGATCTCAGAATAACCTGGGAAAAGTTTACAACCTACCCATGGGGGAGAGGAGGGACCAAATTAATTCTGTTATCACCAAAGGTGATTCTAACATCAGGCCTAGGGAGGCTCTGCCAAGCAAGACACATCAGAGAAGACTAACAGAGACTGAACAGAGTATTACACCCTGCACCGAGTGCTTTATGCACGATACCTGAACTGATCCTTATGTCAACCCATTTTACAGATAAGAAACTGAGAACGACTTCTCTCAGTGACCCAAGGTCACACGGCGGTGGAGGATTCTGCTAGTTTCCAAAATCTTCCTGGGAAACGTCAGAAAACGATCCAGGACCTTTGTTTTAAAAACACACACTCTCAAGTCTACAACCCAGACCCCCCAAGGAGGGAGCTGGGCATTTTTTTTGCAATTTTTTTTTTTTTTAATCTCTGGGGCAAAAAGCCCTTTCGCCATCACAGAACGGTGCAGCGCCGCCTGGTGAGCAGCAGGGGGCGCGCCTGGACCCCAGGCGTGCCAGGTGACCCCAGCTTGACCCAGAGCCCACAATGGGGGCCGGCCCCTGCTGGGGACCCTCGCGCCTTTAACAATGACTTTAAATTCGCACCGCCCTCGCCAAGCTGGGCAGCGCAGTGCCCCAGGCTTGAAGGGCCTTAGGTTCCAGGTGCGTCCCTGTCCAGGTGCGCCCAGGCCCGGTGGCCCCACTGCGGCCCCTTACTTGGCATAGTAAACCCAGCCGTCCTTGGTGGTTCTCTCCTCCCAGCCCGGAGGCAGCTCATCCTCGCTATCCGTGTCGTCCAGGCCTGCGTAGCGCAGCGCTGCCATGGCGGACAGAGAAGCGGGTAGCTAGCTTGCAGGCCGCCGGGTCTCCTCACCCAGGAACTCGTACTCCCGCTTCAACCGAGCGCCGCGCGCAACGGCGTCCCCCGCTCGCGCCTGCGCACTGCGTCGCCCAGAGCCGCACAGCCGGCTCCGTATCTGAATTCCAGTCTCCTCGTTTTTCCAGTATGCTGCATGAAGGGGGCGGAGCTTTAAAGGGTAGGCCGTGAAAATGCTGAAGAGCTTGAGCTGTCGCTCGGCTGGAAGCAAAATCCGGAGAACTCAAAGAAGCTCAGAAGATGGAACGGAGCATAGTCACTCTCCCGGCCTTAGGGAGGGGGCGTGCGGATCCAGTCACGGTCCCCGAATCGTCCCGTTGCCTGGCGACCCAAATCACTTCCGTGTTGTTCTGGCCAATCCTGAGGAAGATTTAGCCGTGAGGCATCTAGGGAAATGTAGTCCAGGTTCAACTGGACTAGAAAGTGGAGCCGAGGGTTGGAGATGTAGCTCAGTGGTTTATTGTTTACCTAGCATGCACAAGACCCTGAGTTCACTCCCCAATACCACAAAATTAATTAATTAATTAAGTGGACGAATTATCATGGTGTGTCTTGAGCCCCAGACTCTTCTTATTTTAGTACCTACTGGAGAGTAAACTACCCAGATTAAAAATTTTCCAGGGATTCCCATCAATAAATTGATTCATAAACTTCGTTGTGCATATGAACACAATGTTACAAAGGCATATATGCAAGTTATCATGCCTCCTGATTTCCTAAACTTGGAAAAGTTTCTTCCAGTTCTGTTGGTAAGAATGGCTAGCATTTATGGAGTACTTAATGCAGGGTGCTGGCCAGGATTTCATCAGCTATCTTGACACCTCTGTGACTGGGGCACAAATAGAAGAAAGTAGAGCCACTGTGGAACACCTGAGGGTTGAGACCCCATTATTGTATCACAATTACTTATTCATCTCTGTACTCCCAGCTAAACTGACAGAGCACCACTCCTTATACTTTCTTCTATCATTAGCACTTGGTAAAATGCTCAAAGCTGAAAAGTTAACGAGTGAATGTAATTGTTAGGTTTGGTCCTCTAAGAATCAACCTAATTACAAAACAAAATTCCAGATTTACAAAGTAGACTCAAAACCTCTTGGAGCACCTGATCTGACAAGTATCTAATCCATAAATGTTGTATCCAACACCTGAAGCATCTCTTCAACTTGGCTTTGCCTAGGGAGTTTTTCAGAACATGCCTGGTTTAGCACTTGTTTCCCAGTCTTGTGTTATAAAGTCTCAGATAATGTAAGAAAACTTACATATTTTAAGGGAAGTGGGAGAGAGATAATGGCAGTGTTGCTTTTTGTCTTCAAATCCTGAAACTGACTGTTGATGTAAGATTCCTGGTGTGCATACTCTTGAGGGAGAAAGACATGCTTTCCTGAACATGCCCAGCCAAAAGTTAACTTAATGAAAGCACCACTTACTTTAACAGTCCTCCTATCCCATCTCACACCTATATAGCAGCATGACTTTCTTCAAATTTGTGCTTTTATATCTGCTACTATTAATCTGCTGTTTCTCTATCTGGAATTAGTCTCTTTGGCCTCTCACCTAAGCCTACTTATTCCTTTTCTATGAGTAAGAAATTAGGTTATGAAATCCTCTGATTGTGGGCAGGGGAACGAATATGGTCAAAGTGAGAAGTCCCAGTGTCTCCAGTCATCTGTAGCCTCTACGGCCCTGTTGCCTGTGACGTGGCATCAAGTTATAGAGTATGGTGTCCTCCAAAGTTGGTAGAAGTCCCCCTGGTAGAATTCTAAACTTCTGGGTCAACCCTCTGCTACTCCTGCAACATTAACAATTCTCTTCCAGACTTCTTCCTGTCATTGACGCCAGAGTCTCTTAACCTCAACACTGCTGACATTTGGGTTCCTTGTGGGGATGTTCTGTGCATTGTGGGATGTTTAGCTGCATCTTTGGCTTCTGTCCACTAGATGCCAGTAGAGCCCCCCTCCTCCCAGTTGCAACACTCAAACATTCCTCCAGAAGTTGCAATTTGGTCCCCAGTTGAGAACCACAGATCATCTTTGACAATGGATCAGGAAATTGCTAACTTATAACTCAACTGAGTTATGCTAAGATTTATTTAAGGCATTGTGGAACAGGAGATTCACAAGGTGGTACTTGGACCCTGCTACCCAGCAGGCTCTGATCACATTTTTGTAGGGTGCCCTCAGATTACCAGCCCCTCTGCAGGTCAGAGGCATGAACTGGCAGAAGTCTGGTGGTGGGCCCAGACATAAATGATCCCATATGATGTCACCTTGTCCCCTTCCTCCTACATCTTGTTTACTGTTCTCTATCAGATGATTAAAGAAGTAAGGCATATAGGCATTTGGGAACTTTTAGGGGTTAGAGTTCCAGATTTTAGGATTTATAGGGGTTTTTTTGTTGTTGTTGTTGTTGGCTTCATTACAACACACTGCTTTAGTCAAGCTCCTGTAAGTACAAAGAGCACAGACCAATGCAAGAATAAGTGTTTAAGCTAGGCATGGTGGTGCATACCTGTAATTCAAACACTCAGGAGGCTGAGGAGAGAGAATTCCAAGTTGGGGCCAGCCTGGGCTACACAGTAAGTTTGAGGCTACCCTGGGCTATATAGTGAGAGTTTCTCAAAAAAACAAACAAACAAACAAATAAAAACCCCAAAGGTTTATGGTCAGAATGTTAATGACACCTGACACATTTTTTGGGGGGTTTTTTGTTTGTTTGCTTGTTTGTTTGTTTGGAGCAACTGGGGTTTGAACTCAGGGCCTCATGCTTGCTAGGCAGGTGCCACTTGAGTAACTCTGAAGCCCAAAGATGGGCATGGTTTTTTTTTTTCCCCTCTTGTGGTTTTATGGTGTCTTGCATGAGGGGCCCCTCCTCAAGACCTACTTCTTCCGCTGTTCCTGACTGGTTTCCACTTCTTGCTTATGGTTTCTAGCCCTATGGACTTCAGCGTGATCCTGGCTTTGATTTTTCCCTAATACAGACCTGTCCACAGGCAAGCCCTATTTACCTGGTTAGTAAGAACATAATGAGTTTCATGAAGTTGGGGAAAAGCCAAGGTACTCAAAAAGAAAGCCTTAAGAATGGTTTGCTGTTTTGCCAGGTGTGATGATGCGCAACTGTAATTCCAGCTACTTGGGAAGCAGAAGCAGAAGGATCACAAGTTCCAGATCAGTCAGAGCAAAATTAGGGAGACTGTCTCAGAAACAAAAAGGCTGGGGGTGTGGCTCAAGTGATAGAGCACTGACCTGGCATGACAGGCTCTAGGTTCAATCCCCACTATGGCAGGAAAAGAAGGGGGGTGCTGGTAGGATGGTAGAGTGCCTGCCTAGTAAGCGTGAAGCCCTGAGTTTCAAAAAGAAAAGGGTTTCTGTAAAACAACTGTATCACCATAATTACTAATAAGGGGTTGTTTTAAGTGACTAGATGGTTACACAACTGCACACCAGATGGCTCTATCTACCCATGATTTTAAAGGCTAAAGCCCAGTTCCCAGCAAGAATTTCTTACATTTGAACTTTCTCTTCTTTTTGATTGATGACTTCTTTAATGACTGGCAATTTATGATTATAAGATTCATTAGTTTTTGCTGAATACAATTTGGTGTCAAACAAAATGTATGCAGCAGACACAAATTTTAGTAAAATATTCCCAGAGCCAGGAATTTTTCATCTATCGTTACCATGCATGTGGTTATTCCCCTCTCCTCCCACTCTCATATACCCAAACATCCCACCAACTCTGAAAACTTGATTTAACTTACATCACTGAGGCACACTAGAATTAGAGAAAGTTTGGGACTCTCAGAACATCCATGACTTAATATTGTATTTCAAGTTGAACATTCCTCTCTATCTCTGAGCCTTTTTTTTTTTTTTGAGATGGTGGAAACTTTTTATTAGCATTAGATGATTAAAGGTAATCTTAAACATTACTTAACCTAGAGCTTCATAACATTTGGGCTCAAATTGTGGCTAAATTTCAGCTTTTAGAACTTCATTGTCTGATGTTACCTCTAGATAGTAATACCAAAAAGTCAAAACTGTAAGTTTTATTCTGGATTCATTTCTCTGGCTCTGTCAATGAGCCTTCTTTTCAATTGCAAATGTGAAGGTTATCCACACCCTAGCTCAGAGACAACTGGACCACCAATGCCCCTCCCTGCTCATCAATTATTAATTGGAAATCACCAGGTTCTTCCCTTCCCATAGGTTAGCACAAGTTTTAAAAGCACCTGGAAAAGAGAAACTCTCTTTCTCTCTCTGCTTCCAGCTTCCATCTGGTCCCATCATGACCCCTTTCATATTTTCCTTTCCTAACTTTTAAATAACTCCATTTACACCCATGTGTCCTGCCATGGATTCTTCCACAAAGGACGTAAAGAATTTGGCAGCCTTCTGACCAGAGACTGCACCATTCCCTTAACATTACCACTTCTTGCTAAACCAGGCCTGATGCTTTGGTGCCAAATTCCATATGCCAATGAGATGTGAAAAAGCTTCCTTGCTTTCCTGATACATTTCTCATGGGAAGGTGATCAAAAAGAAAGAACACATGGTGAGTTGGGGAAAAACATGCTATGTCTCTGAGACAAAAAAAAAAAAAAAAGATACTCCATAGACCTAGAAATCATAGTCAATTATGATGAGATGATGGTGCAAGGATTCTGAGAGAAAGGAGAAAGTTTTAGTATTAGAGTTTCCTATCACTTATTGTTGGGTCTGGAGACTTTAGGCAGATGAGTATCTCCTTCCCCCAAGACAGCACCATGATTCTTACATCCTGAGGCATTGTAAATATGCATTTCTGCATCCTGAAGAGGAGATACCAGGTCTGATAACATCTGCCACAGGGCTGATGAGCAAAATGCTCTCAAGATTGTTTCCCCTCCCCCAATAAAGGGCAAACAGACTTGTTCATCTAAGAAAGCCTGAGAATTCACAGCCAATGAAAAGAGCCCACCTAACCCTTACCCAAACCCAGAGTTAAAAAGTCCATAAAAACCCCAGCCTTTACCTGAGCAGGGAGCTACTGGGTTTCCAGAC